AAGTTTTGTGTCAATTGGACACCGAAAGGATGCTCCACAATACCGTATGTCTGTTCTCCAAAATGATGTCTACCCAAGGAGAATTGAATATGCCTCAAAATGTACCATAGGGTGAGGCATGGTGTCAGCTCTCCACCGCCCCTAGGCCCTGTGGCCTACACAAGCTACCCTGTGGCACTTACGTATGTCATAGTGAGGGTGAGTGTCTCAGGCAACTTCCTTTTGAATGGGTCATTCAAGGACAGTACTGGGCGACATGGGAATGTTGGTATTGCACCCTAACCCAAGTGTTGGAGGTTGGATCATGCACCTGTTATCTAGTACAGAGTCCGTAAATGACATGACATGGACATGGTAGGGCCAATGCATCAATAGAACCCATATGGATGAATGTTCGGGATGTCCCGATGTTTTGAACGACACGTGGGCCTGTTCCCAATGGCATGACTGAGTGAGCTGTGATGGGTCACGACACCCCATAACTTGGGATGACATCAAGATATATGGGTCATGCTAATTGGGAACCAAGATGATGTTGGATGTGACGTGCAGACGACAGACCTTGGCCCCGAGTAAAGTAAAGATCAAACTGAATGACTTGACCTAGTATAGAGGCAAGTTGGTTGTGTCACAGATGATTGAACTTGCATGCACTGACAACATGTGTGGACGAACAAGCTTAGATTCTGCACAAGTGATATTCAATTGGTAAAGACAAATCGCCTAAGATTCGACAAAGCCATCAAACGAACGAAGAATGAATATGGAGCTTGAGCTTTTCTTAAGATTTGTCGTGAGCATACGTTAAAAAAGTACGATCGTAATAGAAGGTTTCGTCGATGATGGAGAAATAAGTAGGTTGAAATTGGTTGAGAGTCATTTTAAGGTAAGTTTTTTTCAACTTTTACATTGTTAAAGTTCTCACGGTCCACGACAATATAACCAACACTTCCTTTCTTTAGTGTGCAGGAAATTATTATTTGATTGATGTCCAATCAGTGTCGGATTCATTCAATTTGTTCAATTAGAGTTTAAAATGTCTTTTGTGTTTAGCAAACGTTTGGCATGTATGCTACAAACACTTGTGAGACACAGTGTCGGACTGTAACAGCTCGTTATTAAAAAGAAGAAGAACCAAGCCCCAAACCGCAGCTTCGACGATCAACCAACCCGAATCCACAAGTCCGTAACCGAACCAAGCTAGGTTTGAAAGCCTGCTTCCAGCGTCCATGCCTTTGCATTTAGACATGGTTCTGAACTAGCCTAGTTGCCTCACGACCCAAATGAACGTGGCCCGTTAGGCAAATTAAGTCTTTTAGCATGGTTTAATTCGATGTTGCGGACCCACGTAGATTGAATTGAATTTCAAGAGATAGATTCGAACTAGCAACAAGGATAAATTAGTGACTCCAGCCTGGGGCAACCATGTAAGTGGCTTTAATATTGGCTTGATTGGATGAATTATATGAAGTAGGAACGTTGCGCGCTTATGGCCCCTACACATGCCATGTTTTGTGATTGATTGACGTGTACTATGTTATGTTTGTGCTCGATATAAGTTATGCTATGTTATAAGTTATCATGAGACGATTATACTTTTATGGATTTTTTGTGAAATCAATGTTATATGTTGCATGAAACCTCTATATGTTATGCCACACACTTTGGTTTATGAGATATTATTAAGCCACATATGTTATTCATAAAGATTATATTTACAAAAAGAACGGAGAAATGACTTACATCATACATATATGTCATGATTGAAAGTTATGGGGACCTCATGCATTTTGTATGTCACATTCATCGAGATACTTTCCCGTAATGCTTAGTACGACGCTTATACTACGATATTATGTACACCATAATATTATGTGTGCTCCTTTCCCTTTGTAGCTTTTTCGACAGCATGAGTGTACACCAGCTGAAGGGCAGGTCCAGTGGTACGTATATGAGCCTGCCTGGAGTCCATATTCGAGTGCTTGAGTCATGTCTAGAGAAGTATTACACATCAAATTTGGTTTGAACTGAAAAGACCAAGACCTCTAAGAAAAGATACCCATCATAAATGCATGTGATTGCATTTCCTGACCTCAATAGTCAGACTATTTACTGAGTATTTTTAAAATACTCAAACCAAGTGTTACTTTTTTTTTAAAGTAAATGTAAGACACTTCTGTACGGATAATGATGTCACTGTGAAGGCCATGGAAGTGAAGTTAGGATAGCTGTTAAGTTATTTTCGGGATTCGGAGATTTCCACTATTTAGTAAACATCAATGGATTAGTGAAAGTACCAAGCCACTATATGACTCGAGTCATCTGTTCAAGTTGATCAGCTCGACACAAACGAAAGTCGTAGCAGCAAGCACAGTGAAGGGACACGACCACCCGACCTGCAAGCCAAATCAACGGTCAAATTGTCGGATGGCAAACAAAACAATCTTTTCGTTAATTCCAAACCGAAATGGAAAAGGTCGGTGTTAGAGCCCCAATTCTAAAAGCAAAGGGCTCCATATGGTGTCAGCTCTATAGGGAAACGCCTTAGGACAAGAAGATCAAGCCGTGTTTGATGCAACTTCTTTCAATCTTGTTAGATATCAGTTAGGCTCCACTTGGGCCAAGCTTTGTTTTGGGATTCATGCATATCTTCTGGGATTTGACACACCACTAAATGCATCAATTTCCGCCAACCACTATCCCACCAAAGTTTTCTAACCTTGTCTCCATGAAAGGAGAAAAAAAATACAAGTCAGCTCGTCAAATAAAATTCTAGATGGCGTTGGAGTCCTTTCCTAAATGTTGTGCAATTACCCGTGTTTTATCCTATTTGCTGCATAAAATGAGAAAAAGTTGCTTTAGTCACTTATATTCAAATTATTGTGAGCTCGTAAAAAAAAATTCTAGAAGACGTTGGAGTCGTTCCCTTCATGTTGTGCAATTACGAGAGCTTTACCCAAGTTTTTTAACCTTGCCTCCATATAAGGAGAAACATATCTCACCCGAGCTTTACCCTATTTGCTACATGTTATACAAAATTGGGCTTCAAAATAGACATGCATTAAATGTAAATTTAATTTAGAGTTGAATACATAAACTAATCCAAAAATGGTCTTGATAACATTATTTTAATTATATTTTATTATTGATTTGTTATTTAAGCTAATTTTTAATAGGAGAGTTAAAAAGTTATATTATGATACACATAGCTACTATATTCTACCATTAATTTTGTTGAGAGCTAAATTTTTACTTTGTAAATTCTTGGGTTTAAAACTTACGTGATAGACTCATTCGAGTGGTATTGATCAAGCCTATTGTGGAGTGATTCGATCACAAGTTTAGAAACGAATTTTTCTTTACTCTTGATTTTGACCATCAACATAATCCATTCCAAAACTTTTCCTTAGATTGATTCCATAACAATTCACTTGGGAAGAAATGAACTTTGTCAAATCAGATCTGCGCTAATAAGTATCTAGGTTTCACGAGTCAAACCGCATTCCATTTACTAATAAAACAATAATTCAATAACATATTAACTTTTTTCGACAAAATTATCTGAAAGATAACGAAAGCCTATTTGACCATGGACTGCCTACACAACAACGGGAGATTCATATTGATTTCCATGGCATGGAGTTTAGACAACTTCAACATCAGCGGCAATGACACTCAACACAACCGTAGAAATGCGCTGAAAAATGTAGCATATGGCAAGGCAATGATAAAACAGGATGTACTCGCCATCAACAATTTCAACAAGAACAAGCAACTAGGGAAAGTTGATTAAGCCCATTTGGAACTAATGTTGAAAGAACAGAAATTGAAATGGGCAAAATTTTATGTTCTTATCTAATTTGAGGCAAAGTATGTAACAACCCAGATCGAACGATAGCAGATATTGTCTTCTTTGGGCTTTTCCTTTCGGGCTTCCCCTCGAGGCTTTAAAATGCGTCTACTAGGGCAAAGTTTCCAACTCTTATAAAGGGTGGTTTGTTCTCCTCCCCAACCAATGTGGGACATCACAATCCACCCCCTTCGGGGCCCAGCGTCCTCGCTGGCACTCCTTCCTTTAATCGATGTGGAACCGCCACCAAATCCACTCCCCTTCGAGGCCCAGCGTCCTTACTGGCATATCGCCTCGTGTCTACCCCCTTCAGGGAACTGAGAAGGCTAACACATCATCCGGTGTCTGGCCCTGATACCATTTGTAACGACCCAGATCCACCACTAGCAGATATTGTCCTCTTTGGGCTTTCCCTTTCGGGCTTCCCCTCAAGGCTTTAAAACGCGTCTACAAAGGGAAGGTTTCCACACCCTTATAAAGGGTGGTTTGTTCTCCTCAAGGCTTTAAAACGCGTCTACAAAGGGAAGGTTTCCACACCCTTATAAAGGGTGGTTTGTTCTCCTCCCCAACCAATGTGGGATCTACAAAGGGAAGGTTTCCACACCCTTATAAAGGGTGGTTTGTTCTCCTCCCCAACCAATGTGGGACATCACAATCCACCCCCTTCGGGGCCCAGCGTCCTCGCTGGCACTCCTTCCTTTAATCGATGTGGAACCGCCACCAAATCCACTCCCCTTCGGGGCCCAGCGTCCTTATTGGCATATCGCCTCGTGTCTACCCCCTTCAGGGAACTGAGAAGGCTAACACATCATCCGGTGTCTGGCCCTGATACCATTTGTAATGACCCAGATCCACCACTAGCAGATATTGTCCTCTTTGGGCTTTCCCTTTCGGGCTTCCCCTCAAGGCTTTAAAACGCGTCTACAAAGGGAAGGTTTCCACACCCTTATAAAGGGTGGTTTGTTCTCCTCCCCAACCAATGTGGGATATCGAGCTGACCTTTAAAGTAAAGCTGTTGAACGCATTGAGAGTTGGAATTTTGCCACCAGGTAGCCTGCTCCTATCTACTATGAGATACCTGAAAGAAATGAAACATGGTGGAGTCCTGTATAATTAAGGCGTTGAGAAAGAACAGAACACTCACGAGTAGTTCATCTAGAAATACTTCATTTTTTGGAATTAGATTTTAATACAATGGATTATGGCTGAACATAACATTAAATGAGAGGAGGAAGGAACGCATAATATCACCCAAATATAAGATGTCAAGAGTAAAGGTCTGTGTTATTTCTTCCCTGGTAGTCCTTTACCTCTGAACTACATACTACAAACAAAAGTCAAGATGATGAATTTGCCTCGCTGATTGGAGTTGTTTGTTCCATTTACCACAGGAAAAAGGTCCCACTGGACAAGTTGCAAGCAATAAGGCCTAGCATTCACATCCAATTCTTCACCTGTTCATATGAAAATTAATCAGTATAAGAATTGAGAACAGGTTTCTAGAACAATCGGGCATTATAAAACTAGTCGAAAAGAAGTTTAATCTCGTTGCAGCAGGATGTATATCATGTGAAGGTAGTCAAGCTGATGAAAATTTATAGATTCAATGACAACAAGTACATCATTAACAGCCCATCGCTAGTAGATATTGCCCTCTTTAGGCTTTTCCTTTCGGGCTTTCCCTCAAAGTTTTTAAAACATGTCTGTTAGGGAGAGGTTTCCACACCCTTATAAAGGGTGTTTTGTTCTCCTCCCCAACCGATGTGGGATCTCACAATCCACTCCCCTTCGGGACCCAACGTACTCACGGGCTCGTTCCTTTCTCCCATTGATGTGAGACCCCCACCAAATCCACCTCCTTTTGGGGCCCAGCGTCCTTGCTGGCACATCGCCTCATGTTTACCCCCTTCGGGACTCAGCCTCATCGCTGGCACATCGTCCGGATATTCTAAGTCAAAGGTCTCAAATTATCAAAGTCAGAGAGACTGGACAAACTGACCCAGTCAAGCGATTTTCAGATTGGTGGAGGAAAGAATTTCACCTCCATTTCTTCTTTTCTATAGTGGAAGAACTAAAGGCAATTATAAACCGAGGCATCAATTCAGCTGATTAAAGTTTAGATGTTTTCAGGATACGTTTTTCATTTTCAAAAAATCAATGTAAATCAGAAAAAAATTGATCAGGGTATAATCCTCACACATAAGCTCAAAAGTAAATTGGACACAAGAGAAAAGGATTGACAGAACAAATAAAGCCTCTGAAAGCATAAGGAAATTTAAAATTTGAACTCTCAAGTAACAGAAGAAAAGGCGAGATAGCACCTTCCTCTAGCGTTCTCTTTCCCTTCTGGGATCTTCCTCTCATGTTCTCTTTCGCTTAAGTGACTTGATACTCTTAACAATATAGCTGATGACCTCCTTCAAAGTAGCTTTCCTTCCTTCCTTAAAGTTCCATAATTCAGGTACAGAATAACGACCACTTGGATTATATTCATTCATTTCTTTAAGGGCAACAACAACGGCATTGTATATCTCATCACCCCATTCCTGCTTGAGACCTTTCAGTTTCTCATCATCCTCGTCAATATTTTCCTGTTGCATCACGTAGTTAATAATGTAATTTTCAACTAGTCAATCCAGAAGATGGAATGAAAATACTACTTCAACAAAAGAACTATGTGGAAAACATCACTGGAACAATTTACCAGCTATAATGTCTACCAAGACTAATCAAATAACCATAAGATATTTCATACAATGAAAAAGAAGTGCAGAAATAACTTATTTCCATACGAAAATAAGACCATTTATTACAGATCTGTAGCTTCAAGGTACTGTTTGTTCTAGTACTATCTGGAAAATCTCCAAGTTTGTTTGGCATGCTTTCAAGGCAAGTACCCAAGAGTTGGTTAGTCCAGGCCATGAAAGTGGTCGATTGAATTTGAAAAATGTACTCAAGAGTCAAACTTGGCTCGAAGAGCAGCAAAAGTGTGAAGGCAAGATTCACACTAAAATAACCATGGATCAGAAACTTGATGGAATAATCGATTAAAAAAGAGAGATATAGAGAGACAGATCAACGCAGGCAGATTGAGTCATAGATAATGAAACCTACAGATAAAAAAGCGAAACTCTAAAGCCCACTTTGGTAAGTCGCATTCTAACAAATAGCCATTATGACCACAGGGCATACTTGGCAAGAACCTGATCCCTTTTGGCAAGGACCCTAAAGCCTCCACCGAGAACCTTCATTAATAGATACTCTCTTACATGTAGTCATCAGGCCTGGATGGTGGTAAGCAAGCCAACAACAAGCAGAAATGGTATAAAATCCATAAACCCAACCACAACATAAATGCGCTAGCAAACTCATGCGCTAGTGTTGTGTTGAGAATCGTAAGTTTGTTTGAGTTTGAAGTTGAATTTCAAAAAACCTCAGGTGTGTGTTATTTCTTTTTTTTTTTTTTTTTTTTTTTTTTT